TTGCATAGTTTGAGACATCTAATACTTGATCATGTTTAGATAAGTATTCTAGAAATTAGAAAAAAGACTGTAACGACAGGCTATATAAATACTGTAGTTTTTCTTTCTTGTTGTTGAAACGCAGACGCTGGTTGTAAATCTGAGGTTCCACATGATGCTGTATGCCAAATAAAATGTTGTTATAACTTGCTTCCAACTGTTCAAATAGGATTTGTGCACATCTTGAGTGATTCTTAAGAGTCTAGCTATTTCCTCCTTGCTGTTTCCCTGTGATTCCCTGGGCAGAAGAGGGGTTTAGAAAAGTGGTGATGACACATTGGTGCCCTGTTCTTGTACTAGTATCTCCTGCTCGTTTCTGAGATAAAACACTGTAATGAAATGTTTTACCTGAACTGTTGTAGACTTAATTCCAGATGTCTGGGGAATAAGAAATCATTAAATATTATTATTAATTATTATTAATTCTAACTAGAACCAGTTTGCACTTTAAGTTTTAAAGTGTATGCAGTCAGTGTAAATGAAAAAAAAAAGTAGACAAATTAGTTTTTTGTCACATGTTTTCAGACAATACATTTTGTGAATGTGTGTGTGCTGAATGGTTGCCAGACAGTTTATTTTAATTATTCATTTGTCTTTGTTGGCTGACCTCTGCATCCACAATGATTCACTAGTGCTGGATCTAGTTGCTTATATTTTTACTTTCCTTTACTGATAGAAGGAGTACACTACATTTCTGACATAACTTAGGCCTTGTAAAATGAACCAGTGTAGTTATTAATGGATTTCATCAGCTAATCTAGTGGCTTTAGAAAATGCCAGCACGTACTGAATACAGTGCAGGCTTTAGTGTCTACTTTGTGTGCTTTTATATTCAGATTTAACTGTGAATCAGTGTGTTTTGAGTTGAATGTACAACAGGAGGAATATAGTTATGAATAATTTCAGCACTGTTTTTATATGCAAGTGCATGTATGTGTTTGTATGAGGATTTTATATGAAGATCTAGGCTTTGGCCACGCATATGGAGATAGGCAAGTAAGGGAAGGCACAGGGAGTGACAATTCTGCAATTTTACAGTAAAATACAAAATACAGTTTTATTGGTTGAGCTTGTGATTTTTACACTTGATAGCATTTATGAAACTGTGTTAACACACTTCATAACATGTCTAATGAATTCCATCAGTTTCAGGAATTTGCTGGGCACAGTAAATTGAAATCTGTTGATTGCAGTGGAAAGCAGAGACTGAGAAGAGTATAATGTGGGACACATGAAACCCTTGTCATCTGTTCAGCAGAGCCGCAACTTCAGATATTTTTGCAGTTGTCTGTAGATCAGCAGCTCTACCATCATGGTTTTCACTTGCTGTTTCATGAGGTTTTACATACTTGTACACTAGACATAATAGACTAAAAGAAAAGGTCAGGGTGCATTTAGACATCCGAGCAAACATGATCTAAACTGAAGCTTCTACTGAGACGTGTGGTCCCTACCAGGCATTCCTAATATTTTCTTTTAGTGGAATATAGTGATCATGTGACCACAAGGTGAGTCAGTTTGTTTGGATGAGAAGAATAGTTTTGTGACAAATCAGCCAGCTGAATTAACTCTGTGGACTTCTGATCTCTAGATGAGTGAGATGGGGAGAATGGGAACAAAATATGAAGAGTGAGGGAAGGAGCAAGTCTGCCAGCTTTGGTGGCAGCTCCCTGCTAGATTGACTTAGCTGAGATACCAAATTACATTTGCAAATTGCAGAATTTTGTAAATCACCTTAAGCAGCGTTTTCCTCCCTTCCTCATGCTGGTCATTTTCTCCCTTGTGCTGTTGTAGCACGTTAGTACAACCATACAATGAACTGGATTGGGAAGATGTTCTAGCTGTGAAGTAACTTGAGTAAAAGATTCTTGAGATGGATCAGTTCCCTATCACATTGCAGTGGTCGCAACAGGATGGGAGCAGCTGGACATGCAATGGGAGCTTCTTAAGCAGATATTATTCTTGATGAGTTGGATTTCAGACAGACACGGACAGATAGAGAAGACAGAAATGGTCAGGCATATAGCCTCAGGGGTTGAGGAGAGAGGTGACCAGTGCTGGGGAAGATTTGAGATAGTTTCTAGAGAAAAGGAAAAGGTCTGAGAGAAGCTGTTTGGGGAGGACACGTGTGGAAGAGCTTTCGCATAAGAGAGAGATGAGAAAATTATGTGGAAGGAAGGAGGACTGTGAAAGACCAGTCCTAGCCTCTGAAGGAGCTTTATGGGCAGTGTATGATGTAAATGGACTTCTGGTTTTAGCAAAAAAAATTTTTAGTAAAAAAATGGAAATTAACATGCATGGTCAGTTTTGTGATCTCAAAATCATGGTATGATGTTAAAGTTGCATAATAGTGTTGTCTTTTTGCCTAGTAGTGTGATGTTTTGTAAGAATTTCATTTGGCAAACAGCATAATTAGAGGTATAATATTTGCAGTGACAATCCAGTCCATTAATTTTTATTCTGGCTTAGCAATATTACAGGGAGTATATTTACGACTATATTTAGGTGGCTTTTATTTTCATTTGATTGTCTGGAAATCTTTGTTCTGAAACAGGAAAAATAAATCAGTAGATTGAGACATTTTGATAGACAGATTGAGACATTTTGATAGATCACAGAATTCCTTAAAAACTCAGTAGTGAAGAGCATTACTAACACATATACTTTTTATACCTTTTACAAAGAATTATTGTTATTGATATAGAAAGAAAGAAACTTCAGAGATCAAGAGAAAAACCAGCAGCTTCTCCTTCCTAGATCTTTCTCCTTTGATCAGCATCATCATATGTAGATTTGGACTGAAAGGCATGGAAGGTTGCCAGAAGAAATAAGATGGAATCATTTCTAGATGGATTGCTTGCAGTTTTCGTCAAGTGTGTAGTGGCAAAAAGTTATGTAAGCTGTTATCTGGGAATTTGAAGAGGAAGGAGGACAGGGAAGAGGGATAGGAAGATCGGAAATGGTAGAATAAGAAAATAAGTGCTTAAGTACTTTCCTTTTTTGTGTCCATGTGTGGTGATGGTGTTGTTGGTTTGTTGGGTTTTTTTAAAATGAAAGAGCTAAGATTGAAGAAAGTGGATTAAAATTAATTTAAGGCTACAGTTTAAAGATATAGGGACTGCCAGGGAATGTAGATGCAAAGAATTGCTTGAGTGTTGCTTTTCATTGCACATCCTCTACTGTTGTGCTGTTGCAGTATTTCATAGGGTGGTCTGTGAACTGCATTGGTAACATGACTCTAGTTTTAAAGTCCCATCCCCATCACTCTATCCAACTACTGCTATCTCCCTCTACACAACTTTTCTATGAACTGTAGCTGTTATTTTCCTTTCTGGTGCTAAATCTCTCTCATACAGGATCTGAGTTTCTCATCCTGACTCTCCTCTGGCTGATCTGGCATGCACGTGCATTTTGTAATGGGTGGAGAATGTGAAACTTGTGGCTCTTTGTTCTATCTCCATCACTTTCCTTTGCAACCCTCCCAGTTGTTAAACCAGTAAAATTGAAATCTTGATTGAAGTGTTAAATTGCAGTTTTTACCCGCACTAGCTACTGTCTGAAGAAAGTGTGTTGTTCTCTGCCTAGTAAACTTTGAAGCCACAGATTTGTTATAAATTGTAACTTTTTGTAAATTTGTCTTTCCCTCTTTGTGACCCCCTTCCCTACACCACCAAAACGATACATTTAGTTACTCTTTCACAAGTAATTGTGTGAGAATATAGCATCTTAAATATCCTGTTACCTAATGAGTGTGTTTCATCTTTTGATTTGTGCCAGACTGCTTTTGGATGAAGGTTAGTAATCGATAAAAATTAAACCCAACAGTCTAAAATGCATTAAAATAAAATACTTAGTTACTCAAGAAGAGTATCAAAATAGATTTTACACTTGAAATTACTTTCTTTATTGAGCTTTCCTGATTTTTATCCCTCCCATCATTCCTAGGTGTTTTATTAACTATAGATCACTTAATTATTATATTTAGCTGAACCAGTGATTTCATCATTTGCCTCAGTTTTGTGATATTTTTTGCTGCTGAAGTTTCAAAGTTGGGGTTTTTTTTGCTTGTTTATATTGAATTTAGACTGTTTCAGTAAAGTTAGGTCTTAATATAACTTTCTGCGTTTTCCGTATCTTTAATAATACACTTTAGGTTTTTCAATGGTAAATATGATAAATTGAAATTTTAAGAGCATATTTTTTTAATTCACTGTGATTTATCTGTGTGTCTCTTTTATTCTTCTGATTCCTTTGTTGAGCTATCTGTAACCTCATATATTCTGATTCCAAGTTTTACTTCTACCATGCTGTTTGCAGGTAAGAAGCTGAGAATTAATAGCAGTGTAGAAGGGCAGGTTAATATTTTAGCTTAAAGCATACAAGTAGGGGGGGTCAAAAATATTATTTCTGATATTTCAGTCTTTTACCCTGATCTGTCTTCATGCTTTTTCAGTCATAAACTTGAGGTAAAAATACTGTGTCTTCTTCATGATTTTGTGGTATCAACAGAAAGTGTAATGAAAGCAAAAGCCACGTAACACCAAAACAATTGTAGTTGTAGTTCTGAATAGGAAAATAGTAATTTAAGAAGATAGTGTAGGTTTAAAAATTATTTTAACTTATCTTGGCTATGAAAAAATATTGAAAAGACATTTTCTTATTTTCCCTTTGTATTTATCTTGTATGTTCAATTTCAGTGTTACAGCTTCAGTAAAATTTGTTCTCTGCAGTCATGTGGCTTTCCACAGTGAAGTGAGGACAGCTATTAAAGTGTGTAAAATGTGACTATAATTTTCCAAAATTGTTAAGTGAGATTTTAAGATGGATTTAAATGTGTATTTTGGAATTCTCTTGTTTTCAGTATAATTAACTTACTTTATGTGGTCATCCTTTTTACACGAAAGAAATTTCTTTGTATATATTCCAATATAAAATATGTATATATATTTCTTTCATTACAGAAATGAACTTTTTGGATACCCTATGGGGAGATGCGTCCTTGACATGGAGCATATGTTTGGTCATCTTCAATCTGAGGCAACAGTATGTGTGCTACATATAACAGAAAGAGACCAGCTGAATGGCTACGTCACAATAAGAAATTGGTCTAAAAATGTTAGTGTTTCATGCCACTAATGTAAGGTTGGGAAAGCCTAGTAACCCAACAGTCAAAAGAATTACTTTTTTGTAAAAGCCAGTTCAAAAAGAACAAGCAGTCAATATATATTTTACCATGTGTTCCCTGATTATTTAGCACTGAATCTTTCATTACACTGAAATCATGGTGTGAGGATTGGTGGACAGTGTCCCCCGCCCACCATCCCCGGCACACATCTGGCAACTAAAGACTGTGTCAAGATGACCTCTGAGGAGATGAGAGCATCTGTTCTCCTCTCTGTGGTACGGGGTAAAGTGATACCTGCTCAGTCAGCTGGAGATGAAAATACTGAAAATGCTTTGGACACCAGTGTTATAAAAAGACATACTACCAGTTCAGGAAGGCAAACCACACATACTCTGTCATACTTACACAGACTGGAAGAAGAAAGTCTTCAGGGCTCAGTGCCCAAAATATTCTCTCTGGCAAAAGAACAACTGACTAATGACAAGAGTAATGAAAACTTCTGGGATAGGAGCAGCTCCATCCCTAATCCAGTGGAATTTCTTAACATTAACTGTAACATTGTACAGAAAAACTACAAGAGCAGTATCCCCTGCAGCCAGTTGTATCAATCTTGTGATCCTTTAGCAGGGGGAGAGGCATGCCTGGAAACTGGAATTCCTGTTTCACTGGAAAGAGCCATGCTTGCTGAAATTCAGTTGAAAGTGAATGGACCTTCATTAAGAAACCAGACAGCAGTAAATAAGAATGACAGCGGTGATCCTGACAAAGTGGCCTTTTTTCACTTACATTGTGCTGGTGAAAGGAATATATCAAAGGCTTTGTGCAGTTTACACAACAGCTTCATTTTGGATGACTGCTTGCAGCCCGTGAGCGTTGGTGATGGTAATACCTCTGGTTCCTCAGCCTGCACTTGCAGCATAATGGAGTTGACTAATAATTCCGAGAATGAAAATGGGCAGCAGTTGTATGAAGATGCTTTAAGGGATAAGTATTTATGTCTGGAAAGAGCACCACGAAAGGTTAAAGTGGCGTGCTCAGGTCACAACTTCTATGGAAATAATTTTACTGGAAGAATGCCCTCAAAGCCCTTTCTGAGCCATTTTGAAGACTGCAATGATAACTGTGAAGATGAGTTGGAAGAGGATTTTTTTCGAAACAAAAAGGAACGTTCTACTCTATTAATAAGACGTTTCTGTAAAAATGATAAGGAGGTTAAAAAATCAGTTTATACTGGAACGAGAGCAATTGTTAGGACTTCACCTTCAGGGCACATAGGAACTGTTGCTTGGAATTATGTTGAGCAAAGGAGAAACAATGGTGGCTTGAAGCTTTCTAGGATTACAACAGAACAGCTAACTGTAATTCAGTCCTTAATAAAATGGAAGTTTAATTCCTGCCTTGAGAAGTCTTTATGGTATGAGGTAAGCTTTTCATAGTGTTTTTTTGTTTGTTTTGTTTGTTTTTTTGTTTGTTTTTGTTTCTTTGGGTTTTTTTAAGTTTTCATAACCTGATGACCTGTCCATTAAAAAAGCACCTTCAACAAGTAAACAGTAACACTGAACAGGATATTTCACTTAACCACATTGAGCAATCTTATGTTGAACACTGTTTTTTAGAAAAATGTAGTCATCTTTCAAAATTCTTTAGGTTTAAAACAATATGGGATAAAAAGAATAATTTTATATGTGTATAAACTGTATGTGTATATATATACATACATATATATCTATATAAAATGCATATAGGTACATATTTATACATAGGTGTATGTATAAATTTAAATCTTGCTAAATATTACCTGTATGTAAAAATATAACACACCTATATACAGATTAGAATGTATATGCATTTTTTATATTTATATTTTGAATTGAAAATGTATATGATATACATTTGTATTTTTGCATATCTATAAAATAGATGTATTAATATATATTATAGATCTACACCATCTACATGTTAAAATGAATAAGCTCTAGAGAGGGGAAAAGAATCAAGATAAAGGAGAGTGTAGTCACATAAGCTGTGCTTATGAACTGGTCCTGAATAAATGTAAATCCCTTCTGTCGGAAGAAATTTCTAGCAGTTAATGCTCAAACTCTTCAACAACTTTCACTAGAACTGAAATGGAGGAAAACTTACTTGTATAGAATCATAGAATCATTTAGATTGGAAAAGTTCTAAGATCACTGAATCCTACTGTAAAACTGATCAAATGGATTCTATGAAATTTTGTCAGTGGTAAGGAAGGAGGGGACTTGGTTGTTCAGGAACTGCGTGACAGTTGTTCCCTCCTCTAATATTCTCATGTCCTTCTAGAAACTAGTATTTTTGCACTTAAATGGTTGATTGGAGAGTTCTATAAGCATGTTTATGACGTTTTTGTACCAGGCTGCAAGGCTTTGTGGTACTGTTCATTACTGTGAAATTTCCTATACTAGTCAGTGGAGATCCAGACTTGCTGGTAGAGCAGATGTACTGCACGATGCATGGTCGTGCTCCCACGAAGGGATGAATGTGATTTTGTGTGCCTTACATAACATGGTGTATGCTCAGGACATTTTTATCATTATAAGTTTTTGAGGGGGACAGAAGGGAAAATGTTTTGTAGCTGAGGTTGCTGAAGGATGGATATTTCTTCGTTGGATATTTCCAATTTGACATGAGTTCTTTAGCTTCTGTCGTGCGTGCTGGTTTCCCCACTTTCCAGCACTACTGTATAATACTGAACATACAGCATTTTAGGGTGTGAGGGCTTTAATTTGAACACTTTTTATAGTGCATATATATGTACAATCAGAAATAAATGTAATAAGTACTCACTGAATAATTATTTAAATAGGAAAAGGTCTGTCTACAAATGAGCAAAGATAAACAGGCAAAAAACAGAGTGCTTTACAAAAGCACTCTGCATAATTACAATGCACAGAATGTTTTCGCGTGGTCAGAAAAAGCTTAAAACTGCTTTTCTTTCTTCTTCCAGATGGACCCTAAAACTATTTTTTTCCTTATCAACCTCTGTATTTAATCTCTTTATGTATAACATACATCAAGTACTCTCTCAACAGTTTTTCTGTTATTTTAGCGCCAAATATTGCTTCTGTAGCAGTATTTCTATGTGTTTATGGCTAATATTATGAGCATTATAGGTGGATTTACACAAACATAGAAATTACCTTAGAGGATGTGACAAATATATGGACCTGTTGAACATATGCACTTGGTTAAAATAATGTAATGAATTATGAGCATTAGTATGAAGCTTTCATGCTAATAATCAAAGGAAGAAGGAAAAAGTAGTAAATGAATGTGGTAATTTGTTCTTCCTTTCCCCTTATCTCACCCTTTGAGCATGCATTCTGTTTGGAACAGCTAAGTGAACAGTAGTTCTGTTCTTCAAGAGGAAAAAAAAAGTTGGAGAAATTAAGTTTTCATAGCAGTACTGGTGTAACATGGAACAATAGAGACTTTTATGTTTTAAGTAGGAAAATGTGGGTCTCATTTGTGCATATCCCTTACATAAAAATTCTAACGCTAATAAAGGAAAGGCACTGAACTGTTGTCTTGCTGAATGATTTTTTCTTTTTTCTTCCCCTACATAGGGAGATGGGAGTCAGGCTTTGCACTATATAGAAAATACATGAAGTTATAACTTTTTCCATGTAGCATATTATTAGTTTGTAGATATTCTATATGAGATTTAGACTCCTCTGCTCTGCTCTGGATGTGTTGTATGAAGAGAGAAGATTTTTACGTTGAACTTTTTTTCCTATTTTGCACGTAGTTTTTGTAGCTATATGCACTGCAGCACTTATCAGATGAGTGTGTGTAATATGGCTGCTCATGAGACATTTGTTTGTCTGTGTTGGAACAGTGCAAGCTCCTCACATTAATACATATTAAAGAAGTGGCAGATGCAATGAATCTGCCATACAAACAGCTAAGGAGAGGGCGAGTTTTGGTGTTGGCTTTGCTTGGGTCATTACTTGGGTTCTGCTCAGCTGCATGATGTTAGCAATCTGACTAATTGCCAAAGTCAGAGTTTCAGGAATCTGTGAGACCTCAGGTTCACAGTGTTGAAGTACACCTCTTCTTTTCCTGATGTGTGGGTGTTTCTGCTGTAATAATAATAATAATAATAATAATGGCCAGTCTTCGCGAACGAAGATTTTGGGAAAGGTCTTTTACCTTTCCAGCCTGCGCAATGGATTTTTTAGGTGAGACACAGCCTGCGCTGAACTGAGCCCACCCTTTAATCCTAAGGTTCATCTGCCGGGGCCAAGCAAGCTTGGACAATGGCAGTGAGGTCCTCAGGACGTAGGTTTGTTTAGAGTGACCTTCTCATAGATGGATGGCCTCACAGGGCTAACGGGCTCCATCTGCCCGGGGGACTGGGATTCGAACCTGGGTCGCAGCGGTGAGAGTCCCGCATACTAACCACTAGGCCACCAGGGGTCCCAGTTTCTGCTGTAGTGGTGATGTAATATGACAAAAGGAACTGTTGACTAAGATATTAAATTTGGGTAGCTCACTAGACTATCGCAGGGTGATTCTCTCAAGCCAGGTAAGTGACTTTGAGATGTCCAGATGGCAGCTGCAACAACATAGTTGCAGTGCATAATAGCTGAATTCTTTAGTTAAGCTTATTTTGTAGGTGTCAGTACTATCTTTGCTGTGTCATTACATTCCTGGTGTCAGTAGTTTGAGCTTTAGGAAGCAAGAACTCTGCTGGCTTGCTTCATTCTGCTCAGATAGAAGTTAGCACTTGAATACATCTGCCACTCTTCATAGTTGCTAAGGCACTTCTGAAATGCCAAATACTAATAAGGCAATAATTAAAAAAGCATCAAATGCCACACATCTGTTTCCAGACTAATAATTGTATTGTAGAGTTTTCTTGTAGGAGTGTTTCATAGTTAATTTAGTGATTTGGTATAGTACTTCAACATTTGTTAGCATCAGGTTGTTTGGGTTTTTTCCATGTAATGTCCATGGTGCTTTTATGATTCCTGTGTAAAATCAACGGATTTTTGGTTATGCATAGCTAATGTAAGGAGTCCTGTATTAGGAGTTCTTTATTTCCCTAATGTTGAGGTATAGTAAGTTGGTGGTATCTATTAAAAAGAAGTTAAGGGGAGAAACAAGATTTGGAGGTAAACAATTTTTACTATTCCATGTTATTAGTGTGTGATATCTAAAGTAGTCATCTTGGATAATATTTTTAAATCAATAGAGCCAGGCACAAGTAGTTTTCTGTTTAATAGATAGTATTTGAGATTTTTTTTCTATTTAAAATTGATTATTAATTCTGAATAAATTCAGAATTAAAATAGATATTTTTTAATTAATAAAAGCACTAATTTTAATTGTGAACCTACAGAGAGCTCAGTTTCCTCCCTCTGCCGTCCCTCTCCCTGCCAGAGTTGTATGAAGAACTCAAGTCAATGTATCTTTGCTGCATGCTTTTCTAAAAGTATAGATAGATTGACTGTTTCACTGTCAATCATGGAAATAGTGTTTGCTTAGACTGTTTCAAGGAACATGTTATGCCAAATGCTAACGTGTTTTTGAACAAAGGAAGGGTTAGTAAAGCTGTATGTCCAGAAGAACATTTTTTGGTTGTTTTTCTCAGGTGTCGAGTTAATTGTAACCTTGATTTTCAATATTTTGTCAGAATGAATAGTATATAACCTTCTTTTTTATCTAGTAGTATCTTGGAAGATACACTTTTCCAGTGTATTCAAAGCATAATTTATATAATGAAGAGGCCTATGTTGATTCTTAGGAAACGAAACAAAAGCTTGAAAGCATCCAACCCTCTTTGCTAATAATAATAAGCAGCATAAGAGTCCTTGTTTGTATGCTGTATTTCACTCAGATGACTGATCTGATTTAGTAGACACAAAGCTTATGGAGTGTCCACATGAAATCACCTGGCCATAGGAGTCTCATTAGTGAAGTTATTCTGCCAAACTGTGAGATTCACAACCCACAAAGCAGCCTAAAAAATTAAATTGTTACTGGCTTTCACTTCTTGGTTCTTTTTAATTGTTTCTGTAGGAATTTCAGGTCTGGGTGCGTTGTCATACCATCTTTTTGTTAGGATTATGTGGTTTTCCCACAGTTTTTCCCTCTCGTTACATATTTTAAAAGATGGAATCCTATAAATGGAGTTTTCCTCTCCTCCCTTAGAGTTTTGCATGTTTACCTAAAATGTAGCACTGCTCTTTATGTTAAAGTTTATGCTGTACTTGTACTTTTATTTAACAAAAAAAAAGGTTGGTTTGTGATTCTATATTGTAGAATACAGGCAGATTTGGGGTTTGAGACTTTTTAGTTTTCCATTCTGAAATAAAATTTCTCATCCAACATGCTGAAAGGAAAAAAATGACATAAAGCAAATAATTTGGAAGTGGTTGGC